TGGGATCTGCTTTCCCTAGGTGACAAGGCACTTTAAAGTCTGGTGTTTACCGCGACAGTCCTTCTGTGGATCAAGCTTGAGTTTCTTTCTGCATCCTTATATGCATAAATACCTCTGGAACGTACCATAGAAAACACTTTGGAAATTGTACACACGGTAACATGGAAAATGCTGTTTAGGAGTTTTAGAAAATAAAACCAAGATGATTCTGAAAAATTTAACCCTTGCTATGATTTATGCTAGATTTTGTTTTGTGAAGTTAGGCCTAGTAATAAGTGTTCATGAATAGTTTATCATGTATCTGCCATACAGTAAGTTGTTGGTTTTTCTCCTAATCAGGTTCCTCAAAATAAAGAGAATTGGTTTTCAAAACTCTGTTTTTCTTGTTTATTTTCCAGTGGGAGCAAAGTTTTTCATTTAAAACTTTCTATATTTAGTAGCTAGTGAACATAACCATTAAAGAGCAATGAGGAGATTTCTACAAGATACATATTCTGTGAATAAGCAAAAGAGAAACTTTCATTCCCAAGATAGAGATATAATGAAAATCATTCTTGTTCCCTTTTATTTAGACCATTGTAAGGGAACAAAAGGTCTGCTTATGAATGCAGTAACAGTGTATACCCTCCAGACACCTGCCTGTTCTTTGATTTCTACCTAGGGTGAGTCAGCTTCCTCTGTCTTCAAGGCTAGGAAGTGAGCTGCTGAATGAATGGTGACGCTTACTGCTGCTCAGAAAAAAGGTGTTAAAATATACAGCTTCCGTCATTAAAAGTTATCATCGCTGTTTCATAAGAAGTAGGACAGATCCTTACTGTTAGGTTCACTTTTCGTTTATATATGGGTGAAATAAATTTCTTGAATTAACTTCTGCTTGAATAAACTTCTCCCTCCATCTAAATAGGCTGTTGTATGGGCCAAACCTATGGTTACCTACCTCTACTTTTGACTAATCTAATGCAGAGATTAAGAGTTTTGATTAATTTTTATTGCTGTCTTGCCCTGCTTCTGACCGCTCTGTATGACCCACTTCGAAGTGTTTATGAGCTCCCGACAGGCGTAGTTCAGTGACTGATCCTTGGTTTTGATCCTTCTTCTTTGTGGTGACTAACATTTGATCACACAAATGTGTGGTATCTGTGTGGTATCTGTATGGTATCTGATAAAATATTGGAAAATTACCAGTAAAATACAGAAAGAAATCCATTCGTGCATGCTTAGTTGGTATTCTGTAAGCAGACAGCTAAAACATCAGCAAGCACAGTCTGAGGTAAAAACAACCAGTTTCGCACTAACTAGAAGAGCATGGAGGAGCTATGCTGTCAATGTGCTTCAGACATGATTCTCTAACTTAAGTGCAATGCTGTGCCTTAGAAATGCTTTTGGGTTTACTTTGGATTTGATTTCAACCACAAGGTTTGACTCTAAACTGGGCAGCTAAACAGGAAACCTCTGTCTTTGGGGAAAGGGCTGCATAGATAGATACCTTTCAAGCGGTACTCTCAAATAACTTTCCTGACATGTCCCATGGATGGTTTGGAAGAAGGAAAAGACATGAAGAGAGAGCTGTGTATGGTTTTGTTCATTTCTGGTGAAAAAATAGCATAAAATTTTTCTCATCAAAATGGGAAATGAGATGTACTGGAGTTTGAGGGTTCAGTGTTTAAAAGAATCGTATTAAGCAAATGCCAGCATTGTAATACTTCACCATTATTAAAGGCTGATATAGTAATAACTGTGTTAATGTCATCAAAGAGATTCTTTGCAAAATGCTTCTGGCTATTCAGCTGTGGTCTTGAGATATATAAAACTTAAAGCAAGAGTTAACAGGCTCAGACTGAAGTAAACCTTGAAATTGTGTCAATTAATTAAGCAGCTCTGGCTGTGTATGTCGTTATGTTCTGTTTTTACTCTATTGTTGTGCTGTTTGATGACTCGGCTCTTGAACAGCCGCAAGATGGGCACGTATTCTGAAGGTGTAGTGAACTTCATTTGCAAAATTAGTCATAGACAGCCTGCATATGCAAACTGTAATCTATGCATAAACATTAAGGATCCCCTAAGTTCCTTGAAGGAATTTGTCTTTGACAAATATGTGGTGAGCCTGTGCATTTAAATGAGCTTTCAGACCCATACACTGAAACTGTTGCAGTGAAGCGGTGCTTTCAGGTAGCTTTAGTGTTATTTGGAGAGGAAGGTGACCAGCTAGATGTTAACTGTATATTCGCAAAGTTATTCGGCAGCAAATGAGCTGGGCACACTGAGGGTGCAGAATGGTGCGTATTTAGCCTGAAAACCAATAGATGTATTTCTATTGAAATCCTGGGTCGGTTGTGCCATTCTTGCTAAGTGAGCAAGTCATGCCACAGATGTTTTGCCATTACAAAATGATTTGAAGACACCTTGCCTCCTCCTGGAGGCTTGGCTGGAGCTCAGCGCCAGCGTAGGGAGGGCAGCCCCTCTCCCCTGGGCAGAGGCTCCCGGGCAGCACCGTGGGGGGCAGATCCCCGTCTGGCCTCTCCGGTGGGAGCTGCTTTTCAGCTGCAGCTCTGCCGCTTGGCCTGGCCTCAGCTACAGGTCCTGTGAAACCGCCGCCTCGTCTGTGCCTGGCCACAGGCCCCTTGGTCCGGCCCCAGTCCCTGACCTGCGACTGACTTCCCGGGTCTCCCTGGGCCTCACCCTGACCCTGGCCCAGTCCCGGCTCCCCCATGGACATGTCTCATCACCATGGGCTGGGCTGGTGACCTGGGCCCTTGGCGGCCACCCTGGGCTTGCCCCACTCGCCTGGCCATGGGGCTGGGCCCTGCCTCACTTGGCAGCCCCCACTTGGGGCTCCCTTTCTCGCTGGAGCAGCCACCTCACGCTGCTCCCGGACATCTACAGCTTGTCTTCTGCAAAACATCTTCATGAGGGAGTTCATGTCCCATGGCTGGTGAAGCAGCAAGGACTGAGAGCATGGTGCTCTCATTCTACTTGTGTGTATTGATTTTCTGGTTTTGGTATCGGCTCCTGGCATTGCCAGCCTTGAAATGTCACCTACAGGATCACGAAGATAGTCTTATGGTGCTATGCTTGGGGGATTTGAAAAAACTCGTTTTCCACAGGGAAAAAAAAAAAACAACCCAGCATAGATGAATGTTGCTAGCAATGGGGAGCCCTTTAAGAGGCTGTTAATGAACAGACGAAAGTTCATAATTCTGTCATCAGAAAATATGTCAGCTGTGGTGTAAAGCCTGTACTAGCCACGAGTGAAAGCAAAAGCATCAATTAAATGTGTAAAAAAAAAGGCTCAATATGACAAAAGTTATGATAAGTAGGAGACTTCTAGATGTCAGGAAAAATCCTTGCCTGTTTTTGTCGAGGCCGATGACAGCATTTTGGAAGTATTCCAGGGAAAAAGCCATCCTAACGAAGGAAGGGGCTCCAACTAGGTAGGAAGAGTATAAACAATCAGTATGAAATAAAAGATGCTGCTATGACGGTTTTGTATTTGGAAAGAAATAGAGTGATGTACTCAACAACTTTGTAGGAAATCGAGTCATATGAAAATGTTTTTCAGTTTTTAACGGGGAACAGGTTTGGGTTAAGTAACTTTCCAAAAGCAGTAGATTTCAGTAAGATGTTTGATGCAATGGTGCTGGTGATCCTTATTAAAAGTTCTGACACTGCTCCCCATCAAAAGGGCACAGTCTAATGGATCTTGAGCGAGGTAACTGGAAATTGTCAGTGGAGATGTTCAATGAATTGACATGTGTGTTGTGTTCTGCAAGAACCAGTTCTCATTCTTTATGCTTATTTTTTATTAATGATCTAGGAAATATGTGAAGACAATCACAGACAGTCATTTTTAAAGAAAGGCCAAATATAAATATTGGTCTGATAGTAAATACAGTAATACAGAATACTTTATAAACTATATTCATCAAGACAAGGTACACCTTTATAATAACTGTCTGGAAAGTCATAATTCTAAAAGCAAAGACTATGCGTCATAGCTAGAAAATTGGAAGGCTGCAACTTTGAAATATTTTGGAGACATAGCAGGCACAGAACTCCTGAGATGTTACAGCAGAAAGTTGCGCAGTGTAAGTCATGGACATATTGAGGGGAATAGGGCAGGACGGTATGTGTGTGTATGTCTTTGTTTACTGGAGCACAGTGTTAGGATTTGTGTCAAATGAACTTTCAAAAAATGTTTGAAGGTTGTTGAGGGTTTAGAGAAGAGAGTGTAGAAAATACTTAGGAGCAGGAGATTTATGGAGCTAAGTCTGTTTACCTGATCAAAAAGAAAATTAAGTTGTCTGATCAGTGTTTAACTTTACAGAGAACTTGAGCTGAGAAAGATATAACAGGACCAAGACTTCAAAGTAAGAAATACAGAACACATTTTTAACAGTTTTTAACAGTTCAGTTGATTAACTACTAGAACAAACAGCTAAGGAGTTGATGAATTCTCCATCTCTTGATGTCTCTGTAATCAAGATTGAATACCTTTCTTGGTGTGTATGAGTAAAATGCAATTTATTGGTCTCAGTACAAGTAATAAGGTTTGTGGAGGTTACTAACATAGGCTAAATTTAAGGGGATAATAGCGCCTAATTTTTAAAAACCATCTCCCCTCCCAGTTAGGAGTCCAAGTTAGATTTAAGAAAAAAACAATTTGCAGCTGTTTATCCTAGTAGGTGTATTTAAGAGGATGTGCATGAGATCTGGGTAAACAGTACCATAATTTGCCAAACAAGTACCCTGTTGATCACCATCTCTATCAGCCACATGGCTGATTCATCATTGCATGATCAGGAATCACAAGATTCCTTTCTTGTCGGTTATTTCTTGGTACATTTCAAGGGCAGCTGAAAATTTTATTTTATCCATGTTTATTTGTAAACTTTGTCGTGAAGCTGGATGCATGTATAGAAGATGCATGTATAGCTTCTAGAGCTCTTACTGCTGACTCATTGACCTGGTTTGTGAAACTTGCTAAATAGATGATTAGACATATGCCACAGGAATCTGAAAACAAAGCCCAGCCCACAGAAAAGCGGAATTCAATATTCAGTGCCCTAAATGACATGGTAAGGGACAAAAATATCCCTATATGGGATTATAGGGACAAAAATATCCCTATATCATTTCATTGACCTACATACATGTAGTTTTTCTGCAGACTTCTTCAACATCAGAAGCTCAACAACAAAGACGGACATTCTTCCAGTAAGACCAAAATTTGGACCTGCAGTTCCCTCCATAGACAATGGGGGGCGGGGGGAGAGAGAGAGAGAGAGAGACTTGCCCCCTGCAGTATTAGATTCTGTGAATTGCCTCGAAGGACAGTTTCTCTCCATTGAAAGTCAGGCACTAAGCTAATTTTAATGTAGTGAGCCCTATCAGAATACCTTTGTTTCTCCATGATGACATTCTGTTGTCTATATTATTCAAGAGATCAGACTAGATGGAAGAATATTTGGCCTTTAAATCTATAAATTCTTAGAATTATTTGTGCTTCGGTAAAGAGAAGAGTTGATAGTCACGTAACCTTGTACAAATGAGTGAATCAGAATTGGTAGTTTACATAACAAAACAGGAATGAGCAAATAAATAAAGCATTATCGCCTCCAGCCAAGAAGAGTTTGATTTGTGAAATACGCACTTAAGAAAATGTACTGTAACGAGTATTTGAGGCTTACTACATAACAACAGCATGACCTCCATTGTGCAAGATACTGCAAATGCAATTGCCATCTTGCAAAAACCAATGCAGTCCAATGATCTTTAACTGAGATACGCTAACTTACTCTAGCTAAACAAACATCCTTTATCAAACTTTAGGGGAGTGATGAGTAATTGGCAATGACTGCTAAAGTCATCTGTATAATTTAGGGAAAATTCTGACAAGGAAATCAACTTGGATGTGAGAGTTTGAGAGGGCAGGAACTCACGAAACAGTTTGACACATACCACTGAAAATCCTCGGTTAGAGAATCCAGGGAGAATGACTACTTGCTAGCCATCTTCAGGGATCCAGATGGACATGTTCTGAGAAGAGAGGAGTACATTGTAATGTTGTATTCAGTATGGATTGTGTGCTCTGTCTTTTAGCCATAGGACTTAAAGATCTCAGCTACAAGTGATCTGAGTGTGAGGGGAAAGCATAGCCCCAGAGAACACGAACAGTCAGGAAACAGTTAGTCTTGTGTGCTTGAATCACATGCACTGGCTGTAAGGTCATGTTGGTAATATTTCTGGGAAAGACATTTGTGAGATGATTTTGATTATTGCCGTAGCACCGCAGCTTCTCTTCCACCAGAAGTGGGTACTGTTATTTTTAGCCTGAAGAGTTTTAAATTCTGCATCTTGACCTGCACTGAGAATTACTTTGGTTTTTTTCTTACAGACTGTAGCTCTGAGAGTGGCTTCTCTGTCTACTACAAATAGACAAGTATTTTGTCTCAAAGTCAGTGCCTTGTGTAGGTTTTGATGTGTAGATTTTCTATCTTTTTGAGACAAAAGTACAGAATGTATTATCAAATAAAAAGCCATCATAAGCAGCAGTCTTGATTTGCTCTGTTCCTCACACCGTTACAGTCTGCAGAAATTTCAGTGCACAACATCAGGCACTACAATCTGATGAGTAATTGGTTTTGATCCTTCCACTATGCTCTTTTTAGCTACCAGAGATGACAAAACTTGAAGGAAGAGGTGTTCTTAAATGCTTTGCATTTCTTAGGATCTTTTAGCAGAAAGAGAGGGAACAATCTATTTGTAACCATTTTATATTTGGCTAGCTGACCGGCCCAGCCACGGTCTCCATAAATAGTTGAGATTCAGCTTCTTTCACAGTTGTGTTTTAGTGAAAGAAACCAAAATTAACAATCTGCGTGAAATGTGACTTGATAGTACATTATCACACAAGTGGTAGCTTCAGGATTGAAATGTGAGCACCTGCATGATGGAGAGGGTGGCTGAAGCGTTTAGGTGTAGCTGGGCATGGTAAGATATTTTGCAGTGTGCTTCACCAGTTGCAGTTCTCTAAAGCCACCTCTGGTCGTAACCTTCTCTTTTGTACAGTGGAAATGGAGGAAGGAAAACATTCTTTGGAGGGAAGTTCTGGTGTGGTGACAGCTTCATCAGGACGTTTAAGCAGAATGGGATAGTGATCTGGCCTGGAGATAAAAAGGAGGGAAAATGTCCTGTCTCTCCTGCTGTTCTCTACAAAATAAAGGCATTCTGGTTTCCCTTTTCTTTTATGATTCTTTAGCTTGTAGTTGATTTTACGCTGCTTCCTACGAAAAATTTTTCTATTACTTTTTCTATTGCTTTCTTGAAAACTTTTGTTGCTTTTCTCTTTGACCTTTTGCCAGCCTCTCTGGGTTTCAAAGACATAAGCAGTAACCTGGACGTTGAGTGTCTGCTTCACTGCGTGTCTGGAATCGTAATGGAATCATAGGAAGATAGTGAGCTAGCTGGCATTTAGTAGCCATTGTACAACAGGAGCACAGTGATGTAAAATTGGAGCTAAGAGCACTCACCTCTTTGTTAACTATTTAATAATAATTATTAACAAGTGCTGACCTGTCCTGTACATCACAAAACAGCAATTTTTTGTTAGATAAAGAGCAACTTGCAAGAGTAAGCTTTCATTATGGAAAAAAATCCATTGGTTTTTCAGGCATTCTTTGTAAGTTAGAAAAATAGCTCCACCAAGGACCAGTGGACTACATTAGAAATGAAAATACATCAGCCTCTTGGATGTGTACTTGCTAAAATGCCTAAACATGTTAAATTAATCTTGCATTTAAGAAATAAAGCCACATTAACATTTTGTTGAAAAGTCAATTGCATGTATTCTTCTCAGTTACAATGTGTCAAATCTGAGATCCTAGCAGTAGGAAAACAGTACCTCTTTTATTCTTGCCCTCTTTAATCAGGCTAGAGACAGATATGCTTTACCTTGAACGTTTATTTCATAACTCATCTGACTGTTTATGTGATATGCCTTAGTATGCAAAATAAAGAGCAGTCCAGACATATATGAATCAAAATTATGTTTAGATCTCACTAAAGTGAAAAAAAAAAAAAAAAAAGAAAATTATTAGTTCAATATTACTTAGCAAAAAAGCAAGATTCTGTCTTGATTCATTGAAATAGATTTTTTTTACAAAGTGCATGCAGAATCAGTTTCGTAGGGACTCATGTAAGTTAATGCTATGCTTACAGGTACACAAATGCTATGGGGAATGGGAAGTCTTCATTATACGTTACAGAGATAGATAGCCGCAGTAGCTGCAAATATCAGAGAGTCTATAGCCCTGTTATTGCCATGGTCTACTCAAGGTCATTAGACCTGAACAGGAATAATTATCCCAGGCAGAGCATTGGATTAATGGTTACACTTCTTCTGGTACCTTCGTGAATAGAACTGCAAACTCTGCAAAAATGCACGTTGTGAACCGAAGGGAATGCATCACTGTAACACCTGCAGACCATGCACATTTTGAGGTCGTCATTTTTTCTGGCATAGCTATTTCTCTCTCTGACTCTGTCATGGGCTTTTACAGCTGCCTTCCCCCTCCTCACTGGTTCAGGGTTCTGTTTTTTGTGCTTAGCCAGAATTAGCCTCTCCCCTCTGCCTACAAGAAAATGGGAAATTCTTGTTCAGTTTTGAGGTGGAGTATGATCAAAACAGGAAGGGGTTTTTTGCAGAGTTCTAGCTATTCCTTTGTTGATTCAGTTTTCCAGAGAAGTAGGAACTCAGTGAAAAGCAAATGGGCAAAAAAAATGGGCAAAATGGGCAAAATTAAAATGTACTGACGTAAGAGAGCTTCACAAGAAGACCATAAGTATAATACCAACAAAAGATAAGGAAGAATATGTAGGGTTTTTTAAAAAATATTCAATTTCCTTTTAGTTAATATTTTCAAAAAACTTTAGTTTGTCAAATGCCATACTAAAGTAAGGGGAAAGAATGTATCAAAATAGTCTGCAGAAGTCCAACATTTTCAATATGTTCTGTGTCCTGATTTTATCTTTTCACTTTCAGTCTAACAACTGCTAAAACTATGACTAAACATTTAAAATACATTAAAAAAAATGATTTAGCCTACTCTTGCCTGAATTGGACTGCATTTCCCTGAAGTCCTTGAAGCTCTTTCTTTATTTGCTAATCCGTGTTTCCTGCATCCTGCTCAGATACGGAATAAATTACTGTACATAACTTCTTCAGACATTAAGTTTAGCTTAAGCTTTTTTTAATATGCACAAAACCTTGAAGAAGTTAGATATTACTTGGAAATGTGTGTATATCTCTGTCAAGTTGTTAAAGGAACTGATTAATCTTGGAGGCCATAACAGGCAAATGCCTGAGTGCAAGCCTCACCAAATGTTCTAGGGTATTGACAATAGCGTATGCCTTGCACAGTATTGCTTCCATGCTAATTTAGTTCTCCTTAAAGAAATTGTGGACATTTCCTTTTAAATTTTAGGAGCGTCTTCTACTTTCTTTACTGCCTGCTCACATTGCCATGGAAATGAAAGCAGAGATCATTCAGAGGTTACAGGGTCCCAAGGCAGGCCAGCTGGAAAACACCAACAACTTCCACAATTTGTATGTCAAAAGGCACACCAATGTAAGGTATTGTACTATAATAAAATGTATCAACAATGTTCAGAAAAATTTTGAGAAGAAAGTGTTAAGAAACCAATTAAGAAAATAATGGGTTTAATATGTTTTTTCAACAACTTAATGTTTAGTATCCGTTAATTTGATCAAATGCTAACAATTCTGTGTTCCAGAAGAGCAACAAAGGTGATAATACAAAGGGGTTGTTTAGAAAAAGCCACATGTTAACAGGCTTTCTTCATAATGTCTTAATTTTTTAGGTTAAAGTACGAAATCCTGCTTTCATGTATACTAGTCAAAATTGTAATTCGTGTCAGTTATATTATTCTGAATTTGTAATTTTCTTAACTGGAGCAATCTCTCAGGTTTTATGTAATGTAAATAGAGGTAGTTGTATCACATATGTATTTTACCAGTACCTGAGATAAAATATTCTGCTGACAAATATAATTATTTATTAATTATAAATTTCTATTAAAAAAGTAATTCACTATTTATTTCAAATATTCTTTCACCTTTACAAGTTGCTTTTCCTGGTTTTTTTGATTGGACAAGTTAATTTGAATGACATTCTTAGAAATTACATTTTTAAAGCAAGTATTGCAGGACTTTTGAGGAAGTTCATTTTCACTTGCCAGCACAAATATTTTTTCCTTAGCCTGATTCTATGAATTGGTCAAGTTTTCTTGGTGGATAGAAACATAGTGTATGGCTTGAATATCTCAGCAATCATCAAGCTTGAATTTAATAGTCTGAGTAACAAGTGAACAAAGACTTCCATGCTGCTTATCATTGACAGGTAAATCTAGACAGAAAATATCTATAACGATAAAAAGTTACTAAACAATTTCTGATAACAAACATGTTTATTGAAATAATTGCCATTATTATATTGCCAATTTGTGAGTAGGAAAAAAGTTTCTGTTTTTTGAATACACTGTAACAAATATAGGTATAGAATGTCTATAAATACTTATAGGTATACCTGTAAAGGTACTACCTGTGAAGGTAATACCTATGAAGGTAAAAATAGGTATATATTACATATAAACGTAATGCCTGTAAAGATAAATGTAGGTTTACCTATAAATATAGTTATATTTACTGCTCTATATTTAGCAGTGGCTGGTTTGCATACAGGCATACCTCTGTGAAGTCCAGAATGCCTACTTTCAGGTGTTGCTGTTGATTGATAAATCTGAGTTCTGCAGAAGGAAACTGTGAGCAAGTTTCTGTTCATTTCTGTTGTAGCATCTTGTATGCTGATATCGTGGGATTCACTCGCCTGGCTAGTGACTGCTCGCCAGGGGAATTGGTGCACATGCTAAATGAGCTGTTTGGCAAGTTTGATCAGATTGCAAAGGTGGGTTTCTACCGGGCTGCTACAGTAAAGTTTAAATAAGTAAGTCATTTTAAAATATTTTTTCTTCTTGTGGACTCTTCTACCTTCAGACAGCATTTCTGAGGCTTTGGCAGGAAGATTAGACTTGAAACATGTGATGAAAAAATCTGGCTCTGGTCTGAGTGTAACGGTGTGTTTCTGCCAGTGTGACAATCTGTGAAACCCAAGATAGCTCTCTCTAATAGGACCAATAGAGACAGCTTATGGAGCCCTATAAAGCTTAATAGAAGGTGAACAGCTCTTTAAATAGATTTTTTACAATAACAAGGATTAGGAAACTCAAGACAGAAAACTGATACAGTCAGTTTTCTGATCTCTGGAAAAGCATTTAAGAGACTGGAGGACAAAGGGAGACAACATTGAGCGAAGCCTGTTGATTACTCAAGAAAAGATTCAAATATAATCAGCAGGTTTTCTTCTGTTTATTTAGGTGCCATTTTTATAAAAATTGCATCAAACTTCATGCTATGTGTGAAGGTGAAATCAGAAACACTAAAACAGATAAAAATTTTTGGTCGTTTTTGTTAGTTCAAAAGCTGTTGTCTAGTATTGGTAAAAAAAAAAAAATCTTTGTATTGCCTTAGAGTACAAAAAATAGAAATAAGATTATGATTGCTAGTTTCAGGAAGTATTGCATAGTACATCTTAAAAGATGTAAATGTGAAAGGCTAGGTCTTTTGATTTCATATTTCAATCAAAAAGACTTTATTTAGATTGAGTACATGATACTTTGCCTCAGTTCTTAAATCAAAGGTGTGAACCACACTGCAGATACATGTTTTGCAGTGAACTTACTTCCTGATTTTGCCCATTAAGAACCACAACAGATGGAAGAATCATCCATACAAAGCTCTCTGACAGCACTTCTTTTTTACCAGGCCAAATCCTTCTCTACTGAAACAAGCTTAAGCAGAACAATTATGCTAATATCATTTAAGTCAGTCTTTGTAACAGTAACCCTTCATTTATGTAATTCAAGTTGAAAGTGACCATCTCACCTTGCTTTTTCCTCCAGGAAAATGAATGTATGAGAATTAAAATCCTAGGTGACTGCTATTACTGTGTTTCTGGACTACCTATATCTCTTCAAAATCATGCCAAGAATTGTGTGAAAATGGGACTGGACATGTGTGAAGCTATTAAGTAAGTGCTGAACTTTTTGTTAAATATTCAACAATAAAAATTCTGTCTCTTTTCTATCTGTAGCTGTGCTGCTGGTTGAAACATTCAGACCTGCAGTAGTTGGTGTGTTTCACTACAAGGTCCATTATGGTTTTCTTGATCTCAGCCTCAGCAAAGAAATGTTTTAAGATGTTGGATTGCCCCAGGCTATCTCATCACTACACTATAAAGATGATTAAGGGCCTGGAATATTGCTCATATGAGGAAAGGCTGAGTGAGCTGGGACTGTTCAACCTGGAGAAGAGAAAGCTGAGGGGGAAAAATCTCATCAATGCATTTAATCTCCTGAATGGAGAGTGCAGAGAAGATGGAGCCAGGCTCTTTTTGGTGGTGCCCCGTGACAGGACAAGAGATGATGGGCACAAACTGAAACACAGGATGTTCCCCCTGAACATCAGGAAAGACTTTTTTCACTGTGAGGGTGACTGAGCACTGGCACAGGTTGCCCAGGGAGGTTGTGGAGTTTCCAACCTTGGATATACTCAAAACCCAACTGGTACGGCCCTAAGGAACCTTGCTCTAGCTGGCCCTGTTTTGAGCAGGAGTTGGACTAGACAATCTCCAGAGGTCCCTTCTGACCTCCACTATTCCATGATTCTGTGATTATGAGATGGTAAATATCCCAACAGACATCACTTAGGACTTGGGAAGCTTTGCTTTTTGCAGAGTCATGATGCTGCCACCCACCTGTTAGTCAAACGGCTCTGTGAGAGGCCAGAGCTCCTGGCTCCGAATGAATTTGGAGTTCAGTGGTGGTCAGGAGCAGTTGCCCTTCCACAATTAAGACGCCTCAAGCACTGAGCCTGTGGAGTGATACTGAGCATGTCTACCAAAGACATTTCGGCTTACAGATTCTTAGGCTGAGAGGCCTACTTCCCATGTTGTTAAATAAGCAATAGAATGTGCCTGTCTTACGAGACCCCAGGTTTAGGTTTAGTTTCAACTTTTCCATAATTAATTATTTAGATAAGGACTTTCTAAAAAGTTTTGTCAGTTAACACGTTAAGACACCATTGAGAATTCTGTGCTTATCAGCAGTATTTTGGATTTGTGAGTTACTGTATTTGTCCCTTCTTTCCTTGATCATTGTGCTTGTTGTGTCTTTGAAACAGAAAACAGAACAAGGTATTTGAGAATCCTAATGTGATTGTTTTGAAATAGCAGTTGTAACTTAGTTCAAGTAACTCAAGTAATAACAGGAGGCTTGATATGATTGTGAAAGAGGAAAAAGAAATATGGTTGTTTCTGATTGGTTAACGCTTGTAAGGCATCTGAGGATACAACTAAAGGCATACTTGAGAAATCCTCTAGCTTATTACTGAAGAGTAGATTGGGAGTGGATTATAGGCAACTGTAGCAGTTCTGAAGACGATGGGACTTCAAAGAAGTCTTGCGAAAGGGCAGCTTTACTCCCCCTCATCTCTTCACCTGACTGCTATCCGAACTCTCAGTGCAGAGTAGAATAACTCTTTTGCAAGCTTCCTGCTCTGGATGAGTTTTGCCACCAAAGCTGGACACATTTCAGTATGAGGGTACTTAAACCTAATTTAGATGTCTGCACATCATGCTGAAGGGTCTTAAACCTGCCTATCCAGCAACTTCAGCTCAGTATTGTAGTTTATTTGTTAAGCAAGTGTCTGATTCTGTTAGCTTATTTAGAAAACATTTTGTGAGGAAAGGACAATTCAAAAACCTTCCACTTCTTTTTTTTAACCAAATTCAAATAATTCATTGTCTGTAATTCATACCTGAAGTTCTTTCTAGCTTTTAGGAGTTAAAATACTGTAAATGGTTACTCATAGCAGTTATCATTAATGGCACAAATATATTTTCTGTAGGAAAGCTAAGTTTCCTTTGACTAAAATTACAGTATATCTACGTGAGCTACACTTCGCAAAAATATATATCACGTGGAGGTCTGGATATTTGGTAGACACCTGTGTGATTTGTTTTTTTAAACAACTGGATTTTGGTTTTAAAACTTGGTATGCTCTTCTGTAAGTTTGGGTTCCAATTTTGATGTTTTTGCCCAAACCAATTTACCACTGTCCAGGTAGCAAAGTAAGCAATTACCTCATCCTTGTGAGGTCTATGTGTGGTGTGCACCTCATCACAAAATGGAAGTTATGTTGAACAGTGTTGTCTCAGTGATTAACTAAACAGGCATACAAAAGTGAATCCTCTAATCCTTAAATACTACCCTCATATGTGTGTAATTTTAGTCACAAGAGGGTTTTGGCTTTCAGTTGCCTGGTCTTGTGATTCGATCCAGGGTAGTTACTGTATGGGTAGGTTGATTAATGCAAACTTTGTTCTTTTCTGTTTAAGGTATTCACAGCAAAGGTGTAGTATTTGTGGAAACTGTGATTTTTATATCCTTGCTTTAGGGATCTTTTGTAAAACTAACCTCAGTACAGGAATCAGATTGCTGCGTTTTCTAAAATGATTTTTTCTTCATCCAGATGTGGTTGTACCTTACATTGTGTCCAAAGAAATCTATTTTTTTAAATGGTACTTGGAGTACTTCTCCTTGCCAAGCATTAAAATCTACAGATTTGGTTGTTTCCTCAGTTGCTTTCACTGGATGCTTTCTTTTTTTCATTTAGATATACTAGAACATTATTATAATTAAACCAATTGCTTCCCTAGCATATTAGGAACTAAAGCTGACATCCCTTCAGTAGAGCAGTAGGTAAAAGAGTTTCTGTCCCTAAGTTCTGACTCCCCCCCTGCTTTGGGGGTTGGCTTAAAAATCAGGCTGATGGAAAAACAATGCTAAGTTCAATCCATAAATTGCCCTTCACGAAGAACTGAAAGTATAATTTTACACATCAGAATGCAATGTTTTACTTGAGCTCAGAGAGCAATCTGTCAGTTCCTCACACTTCAGAACTTCCCGATTTTCTTTGAAATAACTTTCTGCTCAAGCTGCTATCAAGTATGTTCATTGTTAATGCTGGATGATAAGGTCCTCCTTGGTAAGAGCTGCCTTATAGAGTAGAAAATTATCTTTTAGTTCTATAGCACATTCTGATCTGACTTTATTACTGTAGTCAGAATTCACAATGCTCCTGTAGACAGATGCCTGATTATCACAGCCTGTTTACATCTCTGTAAGAAGTGAGGGATCTGTACCCCATGTTTTGAAATGCTTTCAAAGTATTATGTCAAGTGTTGCAGCCTGCAGGTGAATAGAAATTACCGATTATTAATCATCTCCATATTTTGTTGTGTGATTGCTGCGTCTTTGTGTGGAAGCGTGTCCTGAAATATTTCTGTGGCCTGTAAAACTAGAAGTAGTAATACTCTTGCTGTTGGAAGTGTGTCACTCAATACGTTTGACTCACTCGGTCTAAAATATCTTTTTTGTCAGATATGAGTTTTTCTTATATTCAGTCACTGAGGTGCAAACTGAACCCTCAGTGTGTAAATTACTGAAATAAAGCAGTTTGCTGTTTATATTAATAGTTCTATATAGATTTTACCACCTGGATATGGTTTCAGTTCCAGTTCTCTTTGAAGCAAAAAGGAGGAATTCTACCAAATGACCAGGTGATCTGTAGTACAAGGCTTATTCAATCTTGTTTCCTAATGATGTGTAATTCCATTTTGAGCAATTCAGCCTCACTACGCTATGGATTGTTTCCATTTAAACATGCTAGTAGTCCCATTGGTTTATTGCTTTGCTTCTCTGCTCTATGTTGGAACAAATCCAATGTTTCTTAGAGTCTGCAGCCTGCTTGCCCAGGAGTGGTATGCTCACCTTATCAAGCCATAGATGCCAGTGCTACCTGTGATGTTGAGAGCTGGCCACCTTAATTGGGTGCTTTAAGGCTAGAGCTTATCTGTTAAGGCAAAATATATTTGTGTATGAATATATGTGCTGTTTTCCTTCAGCCCAAACTCCACCTCCTTGTCTGTCTGGTGACTTCCTAATTTACATATTTCTCAGCCACAGATTCTCAAAGGCTGTCTTTGATTTGGTAGCGTGAAATGAGTTCCATTTCAGAGGAGAGTGAAAGAAGCTGTTGGATGAGATGGTTGTACCAATTTGAAAGCTAGATACAAAAGAAAATAATTTTTTTAGGTATGATTTCATTCCTGTAGGTCTGATCCAAAAAGGAACTATGCTTTTAAAGCTGGCAATTTGCAGGGACCTAAGTGCTCAAGGCTCACTGAATGTGTTAAAGTGCTTAAGACAGGACTAGGTGAGTCTTTGATACATTAGTTCAGAATTGCCAATGAATAAAGCTCAGATAAACAGAGTAGATGTTCTGAAAAATGGGCATCCTCAGATGCCTTACAAGCATTAACCCATCAGATACAATCGTATTTCTTTTTCCTCTTTCACAATCATATCAAGCCTCCTGTTACTACTTGAGTTACTTGAAGTTACAACTGCTATTTCAAAAGCAATCACATCAGGATTCTCAAATACCTTGTTCTGTTTTCTGTTTCAAAGACAGAACAAGCACAACGACCTGAACTTTTGCTTGTGGAGTAAAGTTGCTACAACTACCTGCAAGCTAACCACGCCTGTGAAAAACATAGAATCCTTACAAACTCAAATTTCAGGCTGCAATAGGAAAAATACAGTCTTGATGAGTATTTTGACTGCCCAGCCAGAATGGGCACACTGACTGTGGTGTGTTGAGGGAAACCAGAGAGACCGTGGGAACAGGAAATGAAATAATAGTGGGAAGTTTCAGATATAATTGTGTAGGTAAGGAAGGTGTCCTATGGGGATGGGATAGGCTACATTCTTAGATGCATTCAGTGCCTGCGTCGTCATAGCAGTTGTTCAGGGAGCACAGGAGAGAAGAAGTAGTAAACCCTAATTTGGTCCAGAGTAACGCTTCTAATTTAAAACCTTCTGAGGTTTCTTTATTTTGTGAGACAGAAGATTCAGTTCTGGAACATATTCTGCTTGCTCCCCTCCTTAACTCCTGAGAGCTTATTATAAAGCAGACTTTATGGCTTGCTCTCCAGAATATGGCAGGGCAGCCTTTCAACAAGCCCTCCTAGAGGATAAATGTTCCTCTTCCACTTTGCCCAGTTTTGTAAAACACTTTTTTGTTTTCAAAGTGTTAAGCTTGTGTCATATTCCTTGTGCAGAGCAAAGTGGTGTTTGTCATTTGCCGACTGCTTACAAAGATCCTTTACAAGCAGTTCATTTTCAAGTGTGTCAGCTACAGGAGAGCAGTGTAAAATGGCAAAGTGAAAGGATATATCAATAAACACTTCATAGAGACTGAAGGAATTAAAAAACTTCTCCTCTCTTCTTTTTAATAACTTCAAAACACAGTTTAACAAAATACTTTCAGTCATGCTCCTGTTATTTTCATTTCCCAGAAAAAGAGCACTTGAGAACTACTGCTTACACATAGGATTTACTATACCAAATTAAGCCTGTTAAATTCTATGTTCCCTTTCAAAAAAAGAAGAGAAATAGGCCAGTTTAATTCTGTAATTCAGAAGGTACAGAGCTGATGATTCTCATCATTGAGACTGAAGATGTTGCTAGAACTATGAACCTGACTCATATACGGGAGCCATTTGGGTTTCTTATTCTATAGTTGTTCCTTCCATTAACACCCTGAATTTCCCCAAGATAAATGTATGTCCATGTTCTTTATTACTGGTTAGGTTTTGGTCCACATGAGTTGGGGCTTAATTACATAAATCCAGTTAAGTTACGGTCTTCCCATTTCTTAGAACTGTATAAGCCTGGAGACATCTGAATTAATTTTGTAACTCTTTACACACATCGTTAGGTACCCATATGACATATGTCTGAAAATATTCTGGTTGTTTGACTTTAGTCACCCATCTGTGATTCAGAAGAGCCTCTTCTGGGAAGATTAATGGCTATCTTATGTGTAGAGCTCTTCTGAGATTTGGGTTGGGGTGAACAAATACTTCAACTCTGTCTAAAGTCACTGGAAAGGTCAAAGGTCAAAGGCTTAGATGTGGTCTGGACAGTGAGAGTGGCTTTTCATTCTTTGTATAACGCTGGGTACAGCGTTCACTAACCATTTGGAAGGCTGTAGAGGCTATGTTCTCCACAGGCTGAATGGCACTGACCCCATATCCCCCAAAAGTGTATGCGCCACCAGCCCGTAGATTATATTGAGGTGCTGCGTTCTTCATCCTTCCTCTCAGAGCAGAACCATTTGCAAGCAGGCATGCAAGAGTGATGGGACCTGACATAAGCCAGATATGAGAAGGTCTCCAACGTAGATATTAGGGTCTTCGGATAGAAGGGCGCATAACAGTAGTTCCAGATCTCCAAAATATGTTTGTTGGACTGTCGCTGCATTAAAAGCCATACCAAAGACTGCCTGTACAACAAAAAAAGTTTCTAGGTTCTACCATGAGGCCGAACATGTCCACTACTTAGTTCAGCCCTCCCAAATAATTTCAAATGAGTATAAAAGAAGGGACTTCAGACACGGACTTCAGAATTAATATTTACTGCAAATAGTTGCAAATACAGATAATAATAAAGGTGATATAAAAAAATAATCCTAGCATAAAAAGAATGGAGGCAATGCTGAAAAGAAATAAATGTTATCACCATTGTTACTGCTAATTTGACTGGTAAATTAAAAGAAAACAAAGGCCCTATTATGTATATTAACACAGATTTTCTTCTCAACTACAGGAAAGTGAGAGACGCAACTGGAGTTGATATTAATATGCGCGTAGGTGTGCACTCTGGGAATGTGCTTTGCGGCGTTATTGGGCTACAGAAGTGGCAGTACGATGTGTGGTCACACGATGTTACTCTGGCAAATCACATGGAAGCTGGAGGAGTCCCAGGGTAAGAGGCTTCTCTGTTAACCTTTAGACACATGGATTTTTGTACCATGGAGAAATGCATAGGTACCATGTCTTCAGCCATCAGCCTTCATGGAGAAGCCTGGACTAATTCTTAGTGCTGCCTTTAAAAAAAAAAAAACAAAACAGGCACTCAGTATTTCCTGTGATTTAAAGAGTATTTTTTTGTGGATGGAAACCTTTAGATTTATGCCCATTACAACTTCTAAAAATGAGATTAGAGGGACTGTAAATGAAGTGAGTCACGTATAAAAAATATATCCAAAAGCTAGAAAAAAGGTTGATCAGGTTCAAATTATGCTTTTGATTGGTATTTGTGATTCTGTCATTCTTTTAAAATATAATTTCAGCCGTGTTCACATCACCTCAGTCACCTTGGCACATCTGAATGGAGCTTACAAAGTGGAAGATGGGGATGGAGATGTGAGGGACCCATATCTGAAAGAGCATAATGTTAAGACTTACTTTGTAATCAATCCTAAGGTTAGTAGTACTTTTATTTTGTGGCCAGTCATAGTTATTTTTGAGCAGGATCACTGATCTCTTTATTGAATAATTCACTACCATAAGATATTGGTCAGAGCTATTACTGATGCTTGCAAATACATAATGTTTGCATTGCAAATCCTTCCCGCTCTTCAGAAATATGTCTCTGATATTTCCCAGCAATATCGTTAAGAATTGCAGGTTCTTAGCATCTCTCCATCTTTAAGTTCCTAAGCATGCAGATATGTGGTACCAGATGATGCATTACTACTTCAAAAGGTAATGAACACCAAGGCTGATATCACCTTTTATTCTCTGTCAACCAGGGAGAGAAGCGAAGCCCTCAGCACCACATTAGACCTCGACATACTCTTGATGGAGCCAAAATGAGAGCTTCTGTCCGCATGACCCGGTACCTGGAATCTTGGGGAGCAGCCAAGCCATTTGCACACTTGCACCACAGGGACAGCATGACCACTGAAAACGGCAAGATTAGCACAACAGTAGGGGCCTACTTATGTCATTTCATACAATTTAGCAATACTTGAAAGGAAAAAGGTGCTCACTGCTAAATAAATACCTGGTTATTTCTGATAGAAGAAGATACACACGTTTGTACAGGGCATAAACCCAGTGAAGTTGCTGGGAGCTTTTCCACTGGCATGTGAGCTTTGGATTAGACTCTAAGGAGCCATGTCTTGCTATAAGTGCATCTCTGAATTATAAGGAGTCCAACGTACTTACTAAAATACACAATTTGACCCTCTGAGCTTGAGCCCCAGTCACAGCATGCAGAGTGGCTGCTGATCACCTTGTGGAAAGACATTTTGAACAGAAAGCCAGAGTGCAACACTTTTGGGAAGGAACACTTTTGATATGGAGATTTACTGAGATTTACTGTGGCTACTTAGCCACATCCTCTATTTGGAATATTGCCAAACGTGGAGCAAAAGCTGTGAAGTTAGAATATCCCTGTGGTACCTGGAGTGGACTTTATTAGAAGAGTTCTCTGGGAACCAAATCCATACTCACTGTAACATCTACCTTTTGAAGGTGCACTAACCACTCATCAGCCATGGCTGATGGCCTGAGTTTCACAGTGCTTTAGTGCAATGTTACATCTCTTACACTAACAGAAAAGATTTCTTTTTAATTTTGCTAACACTATTTTACTGCTGTGAGTAAGATGCTGTCAGTCCACAGCTTGTACATTACATTGCACCTTCTAAAAAGTGCAAACATAAAGGTAAATTCTAATAGTTTTTGACATTGGCATTCAGTTTTGTTCCTGTTACATATGAGAACATAGGATTGAGCCACTTAACCCATCTTGTTCAATAAATACAGTGCATCAGAATGTGGATTGTGAAAGTACCCAGCCATCGCTATTAATCACAAAATAAATGTGGCTGTGATGGCTGCTGTTGCTTATCAATAAAAAATAATGACAATTGCCTGTATTTGGCCACTCAGGTCTGTTTTTTTCAAAGACACTTAACGCTGGGTTTTGCTGAAGCTGGCAGGAGTTTGGGCTACATTAAAACAGTGGTGATTCTGAAGCAGTGACTTTCTAGTAAAGCAAAACATTCTTGGATTGGGACTGTTGTATTAGTCACTTAGTATTTATAATGATAGATCAGTTTGTCTCCAGGTCACTCCATCTTCACTCTTGGCTGGATTTTTCTCTTAGACAGTTTTAATCTAATGCTAAAAGTATCTGTATTGGAAATTTTTCTCCTTACTTGAGCCTATTTTCAACACTATTTTTAAAGCAACTTAATGTTGTCAAAGTCTATTATAGTTCATAGGTATTTTCTTTTGTTTTTCAGGATGTTCCCATGGGGCAATATCATTTTCAGCGTTGCAGAGAGAGGTAAATTAATTTTAAAAAATCACTTATTCATGTAAAGTCCATATAAATACATATACATTCATATGCATTCATATGTATATAAGGCATGCTTTCAAATATTGAGGGCCATTCCTCACATAAACTATTTTTTCAGCTGATACCTCTTACATAGAGAATGGCTATGGAAACAGATTTGGTAGACATGTTACTTATGAATTGCAAATACACTTCCTGCTTACAAATAGCATTATTCTGAGTTAGTGTAAGTATGTTAATGGGCTACTCTCTGTTTCTCCTAACAACCCAATTACTCTATCAGTGGGGAGAAAATTATATGCAGGAAAATGGAGAGGACGCACAGAGGGGTAAGAAAAGGTTAGATGGAAAGGGCTTTTAATAATTTGTGTTACAACAGGTAATAATATGTGCTAAAAGAGACATTTTATGTTTTGTTAATTGCTTTGTATTTGCATTGTGTTTTATTATTTCAAAGTCTGTAGTATGTTTGCAGTAGCAAACATTCAAAAGGTATTTTGTGGTCTTCCTGTAGTCCTCCTGCTACACAAATTGTTTGCAAAATCACAATAGCTTTAAATTTTCATTCTCCTGCTTGGTACTTCAATGACTAGGGCAAGATGGTGAGAAATGGAAACAGCATTGAACTGTTTAAAAGTTCTTTAACACTTCTTTAAAAACACCAAGAATTTCTAAATCAAGAAAAGAATGACATCTGTTTAAAAAACAAGCTTAGCACTACCAGAAACCTGGAATGGTTGATTTTTATTTTAATGACCTGATAACACTTCAGGTAATATCTTTCTTGCAAAATTAGAAGTAACATTACAAATACCATAAAATCATTTGAAGAACCCTTTAAAAATTTGTATTTTTATTGTCTTTGGTTATGCAAACAAGTCATTCTGTCTGTTCCTTCCTCATCTCTCTGCTTGGTAAATGTCTCCTCAACAAATCACATGTTACTGGAGAGCTATGCAATTACCTAAAATACTGCTAAGTTCCAGGACATGAACAAGTTTTGAGTGAATATGCACGATATTAATAAAAACAGTCTCTAATTTTAAAACTGAGCATTTACATTTGGACAGTATGGCAAAAGGACTTCTATGGTAAAAAGAAAGATCATTGGACTGTGGTATTTGCAGATAGTGCAATTCTTTAAGTTTCTGAGATGTTCTTGCTTTTGTGTTTCTAAATTTCAGTCCAAAGTAGATCCCAAAGGTACAAATGTTACCGCTTCGGTGTCTTGATACCATATTATGGAAGGAATTTCTAGAAACCATTGCTGGAGTCTAATGTCCATAGTGAGGCATATAACTAGGATTCTCAAAAAGCTAGGTAGTCATTCAGCTGAAATGATAATAAGCACTTTGAAAATCAGTATTTTATTAGAATATGAAAATGTGGGGTTTGAAGCCTGACCGTAGGCTTCTGGTTTTGGCAGTCTTAGCTCTTATCTAGTTACATGATAGTCTTATGTTGTTAGGGATCTGCCAAGAGGATTAAGTGTGATTAGATAATGTCTCCTCACCTGTCTACTTATTTCTCCTAGGCAGATTGTTTCATATGTGAAAAATAAGTTGTAAACACTTCCTTACCTAAATTCTATAGCATTGAATAGGCATGAAATCAGTTGGGTTGTTTAAAGTTATTGTAAGTACAGGAATATAATTTCTGTATGAATTTGAATCGTGCAACAGGTTATCAGTTTTGGGGAAATAACCCAAAAACCTGATGCTGAAGAAAATCCGTGTTACCTTTGACAGGGTTCAATTTGTAGGTTAAGAAGATTTTGGTAAGCAAAGCGTCAAATTTCAGATCTGACTGTTGACTTCTTACACAACACTGTTATTAAGTTAGATTTAAGTTTTCAAGAGGCAGAGACATAATCTGGCAATATTTGAAATATTCCATTTTTGAGGAGAGCACAACTGCTGAAAGGAATGATGACGTTTGCAGTAACTTTGTTAGCAGAGACAAACCCATTCTGATGATCCTCTGTTGGGTTCATGCTGAGTCCAGTGAAAAGAAAAGATCCTTTTCTTCATTGCAATTGTGTTATAAGTTATAAATAGATAAACATGACATATGTTTGAAACTAATTTCAGACTTGGTGCTCAGTTTTCTTATTAAAAATAATAAAATATTTCCAAGAAAAGAAGAGTTAGAAGGCTTTTGGTAGACAATACTTATTATGCCTCAGTGCACAAGCACATTATTGCTTATCATACAATTCTGACAAATATTTTTAAAAATAACTACAAGAAACAACAATATTTTATGAATTTGAGCATATTCCCATTCTTTCTCATGAATTCATAACAGTGTGGAAGACTTTCCTTCAACCAGAATTTCTTGAACTCTCTTGGCTTGGTTTTTTTTATGAAATGTTTTCTTATGTTTGTTTTTTAAGGCTCCCTAGTATATAAACTCTAGATTTTGTGTGTGTGTGTGTCAGACTCTGTACCTTATGATGTTTTTGTTAAGAGCTTATTATGAGGCTCAGTGTGCCTGAAGCCTACAGCTGCTATTGCAGCATAAATGTTAAAAAATTATTATTATCCTCACAAGTTTATTCCAGCTATCACCCCATTGTTTAAAGTTAATGTTTATTAAGAATGTAATGATTTTCCAAAGTAACTTCCCACATTTTTCATTTCAGAACAAAATCACAGAAAAGAAGGTTTGAGGAAGAACTGAATGAGAGGATGATTCAGGCCATTGATGGAATCAATGCTCAAAAGTATGTTTTTATCCTCTGTTGTCTCCTTCCTTCAACTTTGACATAAATCTGCAACAGAGGGTTGTGTTTACTATTTCTCGCTCCCACGTGCACACAGAAGTCTGAAAACAGTAAAGCTGTGACTAATACTGGCATAGAAAGCTCTGCACGTTGTGAAGATAGGCTGTACAGTAACATTTTCTACTCTATGGGATAAGACAGTGCCTGTGAATCATGGTGTGACAGAGGTTTTGGCTTGTCTTCATCTTCATGGCAAAGGGATTTTTGCTCTGTAACTGTTCATATCTGTACACTCATAGCCATAACTCTACAGAATTATCTCACCTGAGAGCAGAAAAGTAAGACACAAGAAATAGCTGGCTTGGGAATCAGAATGATGTGAAAATTGATGCTTCACAATTGTCACAGAAACATCTCCTCAGAATTAGAAACTTTCCCTAAAATCATATTTTAAAATCTCTTTGTTTCAACTGGTTGGTTGATTTCTTAGAGAAGGCTAAGCTTGATGGCATATTGAAATTGTTGGGGGAGGGAACATGGCATGTATTTTTCCTGTGTCCCAGGAAGAGCTGGAGGTGGTATTGATGTTCTCCGCTTGCTGGTGAATAGATAAGACTGAGAGAAAAATCAATACCTGTCCAAAATAAGTGTTCAGGTTTACTATATTTATCTGATGAAATAAGGCAGTTGCCCTTCAAAAATGTGGACAATAGTTGTGATGAATTACATGTTTCCCCCCCTACTTCTGTAACTCAGAATCTTAATCAGGGGATTATTAAATGCTCATATGTCACATTTGGTTTTTTGCATCTGATAGTCCTATTAAAAGGTACTTGGCTTTAGGAAAATATTTTTCAGTTATTATTTATAGAAAAGAGTGTTGATAGTTATAGCTCGTACAAAGAATACAGTGGAAGAGGGTAGGTCATGTGATAGGCAAAGCCTTTTGATTATACTAAACTTGCCTAAAACAGCTATATAAATTTTGGCAGTTTTTATGTGTCTTCAGGTACACTTGCTGTGATAAGTGGATTGTAAAAATGATGGTTTGATGTCAAAAGTAAAGCATCTGTATAAATGCATTAAAATAAAGGATTGGTGTGATCAGATTGTATGTTGTTTTATCTCAGAGAATCCCTGTCTTATCTAATTAGTGCATAAAATTCAGAGAAACGTGGGGATAAAAGACATTTGTGTGATAAAAAAGGTTTCTGAAAAAGTTTCAGTGCATGTTGTGAATTACATGGGGAATTGCAGAAAGATAAGGAATGATCTTACATATCAGAGAGGCTGAATGCCACCTTCCAAAACTAGATTGTCTACCTATCCCTGCATTGATTTGCTGAATGAATCACTTAAACGATATTATTCAATTGGGTACCTGAGAATAAGTTGTCAAAAGTGCTGATTCCCCAAATGGCAAGTCAATTCAATAATATTTTAACCATGTGAATGCTAAGCACTTGGAAAAATTAGATAAAAGATTCCCTACATTTAGGACACAAAACTAACCACGTTTTTGTTTTCTTTATAATTGCGTGGGTTTTTTTGTGCCTCAGTTTTTCAGCTATAAAATGAAAATAACACTATCAACTAATCTAATTGAGTGGTTGTGAAGCTAAACCTTTTGCTTTTGTGAATCAAAAGAAAACTTTTAAGAAAATCTATGAGAAAACCGGTATTTCTAAATGTTTTTAAGTGCAAAGATTGAATTGTATAGCAAATAAGTCTATGACTGAATGAAGAAAATTAGAAAAACATTATTGCACATAAAATATAGTATTAAAATTACCATTCTTTTAACCTTTTTAATTAGAAAATTGCATGAAAATAATTCAAAAGCAAACATTTATTGTACAGAGCCATTGTTTCTTCCACCCTGAGCTGTCTGCACGGTCTGATTTTTTCATCCACATCATGGTTCTTTGCCATATGTCATTCTACAAAAAAAGTAATTGGTTGCAAGCAAACAGTCATAATATGTGGGTCTTTGGACATTACATGCCCAGGTGTTTAATAGCCAGTAACTGGAAGATAAGGGAATGTAGAGTCTGGATCTTCTTAGTCCAAGACAAAGCTGTAGTCCAAATGAATCACTGTTTTTATACAGTGTAAAATAGTGCAGTACATATTGAAATGGTACCTCAGGTTTTTAAAGCAGTGTAGCGTTTTCTCTGGGCTCCCTCACTCACTGCTCTCCTGCCAGTTCGCAAGCTAGCTTAGTTTTCTTTCCACAAAACTGCCAAGCACCACATGCACACGCTGTCAGTAACTCGGGGCGTCTGGGTTCAATTCCTTCTTCTGGAATGCAAATGAAACTGCGGCATCAAAAAGCAGTAATTCAGAGTAGTAGATTTAGCTGGCAATGCTCCTTGCAAAGTTGCATGAAGAAAGTTATGACCTGTTTATTCATTATTATTCTGTTAGAGCACTACATTAAAAGATACGTAAATACAGATTTAAAAGAGCGAGTGAGGAACAAAGAGCTTCTGTCTCTCAACTGAGTGCCTTAGCCATTAGGGTGTAACATCATACTTTCTCCACATGTTTCTTTTCCCTGTACCTTGAACAAAGTATTCCTCGCTGCAAAGTGCCCATCCTGCACAGGAAGGGGATGAGTAGCCCTAGCTATGCCACCCTGAACCGTGGTGGCTACGGGACTTCTGTAGGATATGTGACGGATGGATAGCGATCTGCTAGCTAAATATATACCTACAGGGCGAGCTAAACTAAAGTTATTTGCTCTTTGATGAGTAGGTTACTATGTTAGAGACACACTCTCTTTCCTCTCTTTTTTCTTTAAGTCATGGTGGCTGCTACGTTCTGTGCATAACTCCTTGCTGTACGTTGTGAATCAGTACAAGCCCTATCAAACCACACACCTCTGTGGATACAGGCAGAATTCAGCTGTCTGTCTGTGTTGTTCCTTGAACTGCAAAAGAATTGAACCAGAAATTTGGTACCTAGCTTCCCAGAAAGCATATCCCCACATACTTGCAGATACTTTGGTAACTTTTAGGCTCATCAGGGAGTCATCAGGCTGTAGGCAGAATTTTTCAGCATTTATCTCTGTGCTAAGGGTATGTGACTTTGTGCTCCCTCTTCTGTACTTACTCTCCACTTCCATTTGCCTGTGTGACACTGTTTCCCTCATCTCAGACCTCTTGGCACCTGCTACTTAAAACCAGTATAGTTTTTTATGAGCTTTAAAGTAGAACGTGAGCTTGTAATGTGGAGTATGAGGCAGCATTTGCTCTAAATGGCACTACTGGCTTCACATGCAATCAAGCGTGTACAGACCAAATTAGGCCTTTGGGAGTAGATCTGCAGACAGAACTTTTTAGCAATGTGGTAATGGTAATTAAATCAATCTGCCTGTCATATACCATAAGAAAAAAAGGGAAATTAGTTAAAAATTTGGAAGAGAGGGTTACTTTTTTTTTCAATTTTTATAACTAAATGGAAAAAAACTTGCACAGTTTCCACAGTTCACCAAAAATGTTCCACAAATTGAGTGTTTTCTCCAGTAGATTACAGCTGGACCCAAACAAAATCATGCTATATGTACAAAAGCCTATCATATCTGTTTCTTCTCAGAATCCTAACTGTGATCAGATGTAGGTGTGAGACATTGCACAACAAACTGGGAAATATATTTTTGAATTAAGCATACCTAGAACTGAGTATGTTTTCAGTTTATAATTAAACTGATTGCACAGGAACAGGGACAGTCTCCCAGGCAAGAAAACAAATATTTTAGATTTCACAAATGAAAGCTAATAGCTTACACTCCACTCTGTCCACTCCTGTTCTCCCAGGACCTTAATTTAGGATATATTCCACTGTGGTTCACTGCTGCTACTTACTTGCATTGCAGTCTGTCAGTTGAGACATTCCCTTTTATTTAGAAGTCATTAGCTACACTACTAGCTCAGAGCCTAATTGAAAGTTATTGCTGAAAAGGTTGCAAAAAAATCTCAAGCCCTGCTATTATTGTTCAAGTGCAAATATTTTATGTTCACAGAAGTAGTCTGCTTAAATATTTTTTTCAAATTTGTTCAGTCCCCTTGAGATGCAAGGAACCTAACCCTCTTGAAATTCAAATATTCTGTTTCTTTTCAAGTGTCCATTAAAATAAATGTAGACTTTCATATTAGAATCATAGAATCATAGAATCATTTAAGTTGGAAAAGACCTTTAAGATCATCAAGTCCAACCGTTAACCTAGCACTGCCAAGTCTACCACTAAACCATGTCCCTAAGCGCCACATCTACACGTCTTTTAAATACCTCCAGGGATGGTACCCACCACTTCCCTGGGCAGCCTGCTCCAGTGCTTGACAACCATTTTGGTGAAGAAATTTTTCCTAATATCCAATCTAAACCTCCCCTGGTGCAACCATTTCCTCTCGTCCTATCGCTAGTTACTTGGGAGAAGAGACCAACCCCCGCCTCGCTACAACCTCCTTTCAGGTAGTTGTAGAGCGCAATGAGGTCTCCCCTCAGCCTTCTCTTCTCCAGGCTAAACAACCCCAGTTCCCTCAGCTGCTCCTCGTAAGACTTGTTCTCCAGGCCCTCCACCAGCTTCGTTGCCCTTCTCTGGACACCCTCCAGCACCTCAATGTCCTTCTTGTAGTGAGGGGCCCAAAACTGAACACAGGATTCAAGGTGCGGCCTCACCAGGGCCGAGTACAGGGGCACAATCACCTCCTTACTCCTGCTGGCCACACTATTTCTGATACATTAGAACGTTTCATTTTGTAAAATTTATATCAAGCTTTTGTCAAGATTCACTTCTTTTAAAATAGATTTGTCATTTCAATGCAAGTACTTATTCTATTTTGTATTTCTCATCTTTAAGCAGGGAAGAAGTTTTTGTAATCAGTAAAAAGTTCAAAATCTACCTCTAGAGTACAGGGTCGTGGTCAAGATACTAATAGAGCTCAAAGACAAAATCACTGAACCTCTTTTAATAATGTTTTTTACATTTTTGTTCGGAATAGGAGTTTGTAAAGTGTAATTTACCTGCCACTCTTGCATATTGTAACAATGCACTTCTTAAAGGTACCTTGTGAAGGACTGCTTTTATCTCAGGTTCTCTTCTATGCACTGGATATACTACAGTATTTTGGACATGAGTGGAATATCAGTGTCAGAATTACATCATATAAATCTCTCCCTTGATTGTCCTTAGGAATGATCCACAGAAAAAATGGTTCATCTGAGCTTTTGTTTCATGTGTACGTTAGCAATAGAAGTCAAAAGGGAGAGAGGATTTGTAGTTTCCACTTTTACTGTCAGTGCAATTCACCATATACACTGCAATACACAAGAACTTGCTTTCTTCAAAGGGATTTTCTTATTTTACTACATTTCAGTAATATAAAAAGACAGGACTACTCTATTCTTATGTCAGTTATAATGTTCCTTTTCTCTTCTAGGCAGTGGCTTAAATCTGAAGACATTCAAAGAATATCACTTCTTTTCTATAATAAGACTCTGGAAAAAGAAGTAAGTTATTTTCATGGTTGATTCCTTCTTTGCCTCATCCTAAGTGAGGCTTGTATCCCTTGCTTTTGTAACACAGAGCCATGGCCACAGCACCTCTCCTGCAGGGAGAAGTGCTCAAACCTTACAATAACATTTTAGCTCATTTACAGAAGAAATTTTATGAATGTGATGTCTGAGACTGCTTTCCTGTTTGTAGGGCTCTGCAGTTCACTTGAATTTCGTGAAATTTTCATGGTCTCGCAGAAGTGGGAGGAGGGTTGATAGTCCAAGTTTGATGTAACTGGAGCAAAAAATTCCTAAGTTCCATCACTTACATCCTCAAAAGGCATTTATCAAATGCCACTGTTTTTATTTTTTTTTCTTTTGCCATGTCTCAAAGACTCCACCTGTAGTAATGATAGTCTTGTAATGATATCAGTTGCTGATTAGTTTTCTCTATATGCATTTGATGCTCACAGTAATTCTGGGGAAACAATACTATAAATGGCTTTTAAGAAAAATGCCTAGCTGTCTTGGATGCAACACACTAAATGTTCTTCTGACTAATATGTGTGATAAAACATGTTTGAGACATGTATGTACAGATGGAGTAAATGATATTGTTTCTAGTCCTTGGAACACTGATCAGAATAAAAGTTTCGTCCTTTTCAGGTGATTGTCATGACCGCTAGCCTAGAAAGTCAGGCCTTTTCTTTGTTTTATGGCCTTGTAGAGCTTGAGAGTATTTCTACATATTGACATAGCTTCAGCAATTGCCTCGTTCTGCTTTCTCATAAGCATAGGGCAGCTGATAGCTGAACGGTTATGCTGGCCTTCAGGGAAGTAAGACGTAGGTTTGACCACAACTGGCTATATAAGTGAGTGAACCTGATGAGAATGGGGTAGAGGAAGTATTACCAATCTGTGTTCACATTGTACAGCATATGTGCAAGTATCCTCTGCGTCCCATGTGGTTATCAAATACATATTTAATTATTATTGTAGATATCTTTCAGTTCAAAGCATCCGAAATAATTTTCAGATTCTTTCACAGCTCAGCAGAATAGTGTTCTTATGGCCAGCTGCCGAAGGCATGCGTTATATGCCCTTGCCAGTGCATTAGGGTGAAAAAAGTTTCAAGGCTTGTTGAGGCTATTTAGAAGATGGCATAAGAGAGAAGCAGCTAGACCTGGTGTGGTCTTATCCACAGTGTTTAAAGGGTACACTGAGTGGATCAAAGGTATGCCTAGGAGCACATTCAGATTTTAATGTGAGTGGTACTAATAGATAACTTTGGAAAGAGAACTTGAGAGAAAACCATCATATGTGCACTTTGGACAATCAGGGAATCAGGACTTGGGAGAAAATCAGGGAGCTAAGTTATTTGCTGTGTAGATGCTTCCTGTAGGAGTCTAATATCTTTTAGACTGTAGAATGCTATGGAACAGCAAAGAACTAATTGTTCTTTTCAGATCCGGCTTTTTAATATCTTTCTTCACTGCCTTTTAATGACTCACCAGTCCAGTCTTGACTTTAAAAAACTCAGTAAGAAGTCTGCTTTTGATTTAAACAGGAGCTTTTCAGGCCCTGTAGGACCTGAAAGTACAGCAAGGTAATGAAGCAAAATAATTATTTAACCTAAGGAGTGAGTTGCCTGACTTCATTGAGAAATGTCTGGAGAAGTGTGAAACACTGAAATGAATTTACAAGTGGGTTGGAATTTTTTGAGATTTTAACAGCAGCTCAAGGTCCAAAATTGTTGGACAAGACCATTAAGAAACAACAAACATATTCAACAGGTGAAAGAACAAAACTTGCTGCAAATGTACCCATTGAGCAAAGTCATATTTGTGCCTTGAAATTCAGTTAGGTATGTGATAAGAATTGCTTTTAATTTGTCATTCAATTGAAAAGTGAAAAAAAGCTGTTGGGTTGCTAAACTCAATTTCTGCATGTTCATGTAAAGTTTGGTGCACCAGTTTCAAGAGCAGAACTTGGCACTAACCACAAAGACACAGCTGTGTGCTTGCAGTTAGAAAGCACAGCTCATGCACTTTCCATTTTATGAGGTTTGCATTTTGAGCACTCTGTGAAAATAATTTTTGGTACATTTTCTTTTAATAATCAAATCTTAAACTCTTACCCTTTGAAAAAATCTTTGATAGGGTAAGTAACTTTAATAGGCCCAATACTTAGGTCATTTCTGTTTGAGTACTCACTTGGTTTCAACCTAGACATATCTATCTCAAATAGCAGAACAACTCTGATAAATATTTCATTGCTTAATTCTTATGTCTCTAGACAGGCTAATTAGAGACTCATAAATTGATTTTTTTTCATGACAAAACAGATCAAATTGACTCTCTCCAAAGAATACCAAGAGTTTAGTAGTACCAGTGGACATATGAGGCCTTTTAACACAGACGTAAAATATTTTAATTGAAGTAATAATATAGCCCCAGTAAATATCAGTATAATTGCTAGCTATGCTGTTGGAAATAGAGCATTTATACACATCTGCAGCACAGTTTACACTTTGCTGCTTTGTGCGCTCAGAATTTTCCTGTCTAAATGACTGTTACCTTTTTTAATAACTGTTTCAGCCCATTCAGTATTTATTAATAATTGAAAATCAGTTTGGGGATTTAATGACTAAGAAACTCGGAATCAGCTAAGAGTGGTTGACCATTCCTAAAAATATTTTTAAAAATGCTTTCACTTTTTTTTTTTAATTACACTTTTTATGATGAACTTGGGATAGTCTTGTTCTGCGGAGGAACAAGACAAAACCATTTGATGTGGCTACTTAAGCTGTTCTTCAAGAAGTAAAAGGATTCAATACTATTCCTGATAATCCCTAGCCATATGTGAGTGGATGTGGAAGTAGTTGAACAGGAAATTTACTATTGCTAAAGACTGCCTACACATATCTGCATCTTTAAGCTGAAATTTCAGTTGGGTGATATTTTATCTGCTTTGGAAATTGTGTTTTTAATGTTTGCTTTTTTTTCTTCTAGTATCGAGCAACTACTCTGCCTGCATTTAAGTATTATGTGACTTGTGCCTGTCTTATATTCTTCTGCATTTTTGTTGTGCAGATTCTGGTATTGCCAAAGTAAGTGGTATTTAACATGTATTCATTCCTATGTATATTTGCTCATTCATGTAAAAAATAAAAATGTATAAGTAAAAAATTTTGGAATTGTCAGATTACAGAGGTCAATTCATGGAAATTAAATTGAACAGAGAAGACTGAGGATTTCAGCCCATTTTCAAAGTTATGCTTGTTTCTAATTTTAAATACTGTCAATAGTGTGGTGCCAAGTGTTAGTATCAATTCTTCATTCATTTTAGTTTTTCTCTTTGCATTTAAATATATGTGATGATGACAGGAATGAAATTCGTATGTGTAAAAAAAAGTAATACAAGCTATAAGTTTGTGCAACTAAAATATATGTAAAATAAGTGTGACAATTGGACGTTGAAGTGGGACAAAATGGATTGCAGAATTGGGACTGTGATTAAATAAAAGGTATTTAACATATTACTGTGATAATACTGCTCTATTCAGCATGCAAATAGAGTGCTACTATTCATAAAATGTCTCTTTTTAAAACTAATTTTAAAATATTATAATAAATTGCTGGAATAATTATTTTTATCAGAATTTATATATTATGAGCTAATTTATATTTGTGCATTTAAATCAGCTATCTTTCCATCTGTGCATGTTCTAGAAAGGCTGAGAAAACTGGAAGACAGTTCCAATAAAGAATATTTCATTAGACTTCTTAAATCGGAATTTTGCTGTTGATTGTTTACATAGTGGAAAGTTGATATTTGTTTTATAGTAATTGTTTCCAAAGCCAACACTGTATATTCCCTGTGATACAGTATTTCTTCACTCATAGTCTTTTCTCCAGTGCAGCGCTTTCAGGAGTAGTATTTGTAACCTCAGTTGATTGATCAGTCTTGGGCTGTAGTACTTACTCACATTTTAATTCAAAGCCAGGAGGAACTGTTAGGTCATTATAAATTGACTTGCCATATTGCAGACTCATTTTATAACATGTAAAAAGTTTTATGGACTTCCAGGTATTACAGCATTTTCTTTGCAAAGGGTTTCCCAGCTAGTTTCTAACATGGAGACACAAGCTGCAAAGGGACACTCTTCCAAGAGTTCAGCAGTATCCTGCACATGGTTCAGTCTGACCTCAGGCATTACTATTGCAAAATATGAAATTAAGACTCAGGACTAATTTTATTTGTTGTTTTGCATAATAAGTATATTTTACAAACTCATACTATATTTTGATTAGTACAGGAACTAATTCAGGGAAATTCATGGTTTGTGATATACCAAAAACGAAACTTGGATCTAACTAGTCCCTTCCAGCAGTATGATTTATGAATCTGTTTTTATGTTTTGATGTCAGTCATGAAGATTAATCTAGATTTATCACCTATCATACATGTACTAAGATGTTCATTTTGCTATATCCTTATTATGTCTCTTAAACCAATTGTGTAGCTCATTAAAATATATCAGATACTTGAAATTAGTGAACTCTAGGGAGCTGTATTCAGTTAAGGAAAGTGTCCTCCAACTTGTAAAAGCATATGCTTATATTACATGATCTCTTTCTAACATCAGAGCAAAAGACACATGAGATTTATCATTTTCATTACCAAAATGTAAATTATCTTTTGGTCCTTTTATAGGGCTGCATATTAAATTGTAAAAGCAAGAATGTCAAATCAGGTAGTATCAACATGAATGGTATTCAGCTTCAAGGGGTCTGTGGATTAATTTAAGAGATGCAAAAATGGAAGACAGAAAGGCAAGGTATTATACAGGCATCTGCATCTTTACTGGAAAACTGGGAGCATTGCAAATTAAAAAAAAAAAGTTGAAAAATCACCAGCGTATGTAGTCATCACGAATGTAGCTTAAATTGAACATACTCCAGTGCTGCAAATGTTATTTCCTTCCAGCAAAAAATAAATAAATAAAAAATAAATAAACCATAGTTTAGTCTAAAATTCTATCTAGCCTTTTTGTTTTCTTCCAAAAATTCTACAGGATTTTTAAATGGTGATCTAATGAAGACAGGGAGATAAACTATGTCTGTCATTGGGTTTTATTGATTCACTATTCCATTAATCTGGTTTTGCAGCAGTGTAATATCACTGCTTTCTGTGCAGGCACACCACCTGCTGCTTTAAAGTAGATTTGGAGATATTTGATAGTGAGTAACATCCAGCAAGTTGCAAGTAATAAGTAATATCTCCAAGATCATGAGACATTTATTTCAAGGCTGAAATAATTTATTAATGTTTTAATTTTCCTGGAGTCAATAAACCAATGTGGTGTTTTCATAATAAACTTCACACAAAGTGGTAAATATAAATTTAATCAAGTAAACAATATCTTGAGGTGAAATGTATCATGAGGAGTAGGTCTTTACTGTGACATTAAAATGACAGCAAATATTTATCATTACATTTCCTTGGAACAGGCCTTCAGTGGCTCTCTAGCATTCTCGGTTTACCAAATGACAGAAGTATCTAGTAATTTGCGACAACCCTACGCTCATTATTTAGGGAAACAGTCAACTAACATGGAATTGGTAGTGTTATTTTTTGAAATACAAACTGGTGAATTGATGAAAGTATATTCCTATTGAACAGGAGTTACTTCTTGTACTATTCGAGTGCAAGGGATTTGTATGGGGCTACATTTAAGATTCTTCCCAAGTCTTCGCTCTCTGAGGCCGCTATGTTCAAGAAATTGTGTCCTTTTGTCCTGAGTCATGCCAAACTAACAATCATCTTGTTCTACCCATTGAAGATGGTTAGGAGGCCTTAACACAGTATTTCCAGTCAGGCACAGCTAAATTTCTTCATAGAAAGGGTAGTACTTAAAAACTTTGTCTGAAAGCATGCATGTAAAAATATAAGACAGTATAAACAAAAAACCCCCACCATTACTAGCTATTTTTCTGCTGTAACTGATTTAAAAAAAAAAAAAAAACAAGTGATGTTATAATACTCAAATGATTTTTCTTAACACTGAAACTGCCATACAGTTAGTCTACATAGCCATTGAATCCATAGATGGCTTAGTGAAAGCATCAATCAAATTAAGAAAGAAATAGCTACTATTAGATACCAAAAAAGTCTAAATTCAGTATTGCCTTGTATAATTGTCATTTGTAATAGCTTCATTATGATTTTATCACCTCAAGAGAATTTGCAATCAAATAGTTCAAAAGATGAATGTTAATTACCTGGCAAGCGAAGGAAATTCTCTATGTCCCATTAAGGGACATGTGCCATAAGTCACATATTTTCCTAAAAGTTACAAAAGTGCAGAAAGAGTACCATTTTTCAGTATCATTATTTTCATAATAAATTTTTATTTTTCAGTTAAAATGTTACCAACAAGACTAAGTATGTATAAATACAATTTTTTTCCAATCTCACACCACCTGATAAAAATGAATTATTCAAAACAGCTATTTAATGATGAAACTAGAAAAATATGAGAAGGATAGCCAAGATCATAAATTATTTAGACTTGAAACTATCTGAAGCCTGGGAAGTTCTCATATTGTTTCCTCAATTTTAAACTCTGTCCCTCTGTAGGTTATTGTCAAGGGTTGTCCTGTCAGGGTTCCTGGTGGGGCACCATAGCAGAGAGCAGACCTTTCAGAAATGAGGGCATTCCTTGAAGCATAGGAAGAGGCAGGTAAAAAGTTAGCTGGCTTATGGGATCCCGAATCTGTCAATGCAGTGCATTTGGTGACTTGTGCAATGCGTTTGATGACTCTACACAATAAAGGGGAGATTAGTTTACTGTAAAGACCTGTACTCTTTTGTAATGTTCCAGTGACAAAAGATAAATGCATGTTATGGCTTTCCTATTTGTTGCCTCAAATGAGGCTTGTTTATGGTGGCGCTTAATTTTTAGTATTTTGCTTCCCATTATAGCATTTTCAGCCCACTTCTTTCCTTCTAGGAGCATCATGAAACTATTTCAGCTTAGCCTAACTGAAACAGAAGTCCTGCTGTTCCCAGAAAAGAAGGGGATGTGGGGAGCAAAAATCTTCAATTTTTTTTCTCTTTATTCACCACCCAAATCTGGATTCCAAGATACCACTTTTCCTTTTCCTTATCCTCAGTCCTTTTCTCTTTGTCCTGATAATCAGAATCTTGTTCACCTTGCTATGTAATTCTTTTTCTTGTACCACCCCAATAACATCATTGATCATGCAAAACAGTTACAAAGACCTTTTGTTCTTGCCTGTTGCCCGCGTGATTAAGTACTCTTCGCATAAGCTCTCCTTATGCCATGTTAATTTTATTTCCCTGGCTCTCCAGTTTCTCTCACAAACGTCTTCATTTCTTCTTCTACAAGGATGCACTCCAAACTTGACCCATAAGGCTATTCTTGTGTTGAATCATTTCTTAAGGTGTGCAGGCTCCTTCGTATCAGAAAAAGAATAGCAATAGTTTGAAATGCAGGAATGGTTACTTGAATCTTACTGAAGGACATATATGATTGGAAGTGTTTATGGATATATAAAAAATAAGCCTGTTAATTATATTCTTTTTCTTTCATCTCTTCTGTTGCTTACTAGATTTTAAATTCCTAAGAGTAGAGACTGTAGTTTTACATACACTGATGTACAGCTTACTGTCTCAGTCTCGATGAGAAATTCTTGGAGAACATGTGTTCATAAGCAATAATAATTTTCAAATAACTTCTAAAAGACACATTATTTCAAGATTAATATATGCTGTGAATTGCCAGTTGTATGTTTTTCATCAGCGGTTCACATTGACCCAAAATCTGATGAATACTTAGCATATAAGAGGTTATCTGAATGATTGGCAGGGAAGCTCATAAATTATTCTCCAAAATGCTTTTAATGGCAGCAGTATGACATCAAATTGGTTTGTGAAGTTAATGCTTTTTTGTTCTTTCCTGAAAATAGCTTCTATAACACTGTTGTTGAAACAGATCAAAATGTTTTCCAATATTTGTACGTAACCTAAGGAAATTGATCCATAGAGTTCTACTCCTAAATTTTTAGTATTATAGTTTCTAAAATGTATGTATTTGAATTCACATGGCATCTCTGAAGAAGAGAGATGTATGTTTTTATTAGTATTTTAATTCTGAATCATACGTTTATGGAGGAGCTAACTTAACATGTAACATTTATTATGGTTTTGTGGAAAAAGCAAGGGATATAAAGCTTATTTCTAAAATGTCATGCCAATATTTCTAGCATATAAGGTTTGATAAAACAAGATATTTGCTGGTGCTCAAAGGAGTCGAGAGATATTTTTTAATTCTGTAAAAATGTCAAATCTGTGGTTAAAACTGAAAGCAGACGCTCAGGTGAGGGAATTCATGATGGCATCTAGTTCCCTTGCTTAAACAACTCAGTTGGTCCAGAGCTTCTGATCTCCTCTTGGCATTCATTAAACGTAATTAAGTCCCACTGCATCTTTC